CCTTTATATAACAGAATCAAATCATAAAAAAGTAAATTGTATGATAACTTGTGTTGTATAGGAGCATTACCATCAGTCAAGTAAGCGATCTACCCATAGATATAGCCATCCATACAAAAGAGAACACCACTCCAGCAGCTCTTCGAAATCGAAATTCTCTGAAAAGTACTCATCTTCTCACGATGGTAAGCTGCATTATAAGTATACTCATYATTTTTTCAGATCAGCGTTTTATGATAATGCTTGGTCTTTCACTATACGTCACAGCGGCCATCTTGGAAGAACTTTCCTCCCACATGGCCGCCGGTCTTTTATATTTTACGATCAATAGCGTACAATATGTTTATCGTATTACAGACATGGTTTTGTAATAAATTGACCAATTTTGAGACGTTCAMAAATGAATCTCAAAAACATAGTTATGTTACTCTAAGATTACTGTGGATTGTGTTGTTTAGATCATTCAGGGAGCAGCTCTTCTCGGCACCATTACCATTCTAGCAGTAAAAGCTCACACAGCAAGGGATCTAGTTCAAGCTCAAGTTCCTCTCGGCAGTCAAGATACCATTAATTTTATCAACACAGATAATCGTGAATATAAACAGATTTTAATTCATTAAAATGATTAAACCATTCTTGTCAAGATTCATTTTTCATCTAAAATGTCAGGCGCGTAGCATGAACTTAGAACTCTATTTGGCTAGTACGCACATGTTACGGATTGGGGGGTTAACGACCGCGCCAAAGTATCCCAAGGCGTTAGTTTTAAGGTCTATTAAGGGGGGTCTGGGGTCCTCTCTATAGGAAATTTTGAAATAAAAACTCTTGGAAATGCGATTTCCAGCGTTTTGAAGTTCTTTTTGATAACGAAGCCTTGGTGCGACAAACAAGCAAAGATAACTATATAAAAAAATCCCGAAAATTTTAATATTTCCTTGCGACTAGTACGCACGTGCGTATACGCGCCTGAAAGTGTTACTTGGATATTTGCTGTTATGCTAATCGTTGCCACATCAACATTCTGCGATAGAATTGCCAAAGGGTAGAACACGAGTAGAACACAAAAAATGGTGCGCGATCGGCTTATCAATGGAAGGTGCCTCGTGTATTACGCGTAGTTTTGTGCTTTGTGCGGCGGTTTTGAAATCAAATTCAGAATTAATTTTTTTTAATTTTCAGATTTGCAACTATTTCCCAATAGCAGAACACACGTTTTTGACAACAAGAAAACAAATGACTTGATAAATGACATTAAGGGTGGAAATCTCAGCCTTCAAATCACTTTTTCCATACTATGCTTTTTTTCGAATAATTTGTGTCGTGAAAACGTTGTCAAATTCCCGCCAAAACTTTAGCGCGTACGCGTGCCGACGCGTGCCGTCATCTCAACGAAAATTGACGCGAGCGTTCATATAAATAAGGGAAGGAGAGATCTCTGCAAGAATCTCAGGAAGTTTACAGGCTATTAGTTCCTGCCCGTCTTTATTTTGGTAGCGTTAAACGAAAAAATTGAACAATAATACTGTGTGTATATGGATGGCTTCGGTTGTGATATGAACTTGATTTTATAGAAAGAGAGGAGACGTTTTATGGTGGGATCTCCGACAACTGTGAGAGGTTCACCCAAACTTGTGAGTTGAACTACTTTTACATAACTTAAACTCAACATACAACCTGGAAGCATACATTTATTTTCTTTCTTTCTTTTTT